TTGCGATGTCTCGAGCCGTGGTTTCTTGGAGGCGTCCTGGGGATTTCCCAGTCTCCCAGTGGGATCTCCCTAGTAAGTCTAGGACGTCGAAGTTCCCGCTGTGTAGATGTCTGACGGGTACACTCGTCCATCCCTTCATCTTCAGAATCTTGTTCGGAACTGGCTTCCTCGTGGCTTAAATCGATGTCTTGTTCAATTGACTCAATCACATCATCGCTAAGATAGCCACCCGGGTGCTCGTAGTCGTCTGTGTCATAAACGACAAAACATTGACTTTGATCCGAGTTTCGTTTGCTCGTGTGCGCTGCTCCACATTCTCGAAGGGAAGTCGATGACTTCTGAGAAGACCGTACCAGCCTTGGATTTTCTTTGCTCTTCTTCTTGAGCCAGTTATAGAACCTCCTAGTCAACAAGGCATGGGCATAGTCCACGGGATTCGAAAAGCTGTCTCCATCAAGCACCAGCGTTTCCGTGTGTATCTTTTCTGGCCTGTGGCAGACAAGTTTCTTGGCCAAGTCCAGGAGAGAAGCCTCAATGGTGGCCTTCTGGTCTTCATCGTTGGAATCATGAACAGCCAGGGCTTGCACAATTGGCTTAATCAATGCTCGTCGCCGTTTTGGAAGTGTGTGGAGGCACTGGCTTTGGGTCTCCCTCCCAGCAAAGCAGTCGATGTCTCCGGTTTGTGGGATTCTGAGCGCGTTGTACAGGCTGCTGTTAGCCTCAGCAAGGCTGTTTGCTGGACTCATTTCCAGGAGTTAAGACTAGGGCCAGAGATTTTTTATACACAAGGGACCGGGACATGAAGCTGGCGAGTTAAGGCTTCACAAAGGACAAGCTTGAGGAGGAAAGCGATTGGTGAGGGAACTCCTTCGCGAGAGACCTTTTGATCCTAATTATGTCTTTCTTCTTTCGCGGGGGCTGGGACATCCTTGATCAGGGGGGTCACGAGCGAGCTGTATCGCCTGCAGCTGAGGCTACGATGTGACACCCCATGTACGTGCCCTGGTCCAGATCAAGAACATGGACTATCACCAGATTGGCGAGTCTACGTGGTAGATGAGCAAAATCGAAAGTTTTGAGGAGATGGAAGAAATTGAACATGTCTTCTCAATCACTTACTTCTCATGTCGCCTAGATCAATTGGCCTTCTGACAGCTCAATCAGCATATTTATTTGAGTGGCCAGACACCGTGTTGTTGGTGTTGGTTGTGATGCAGCTCGTTAGCGCCAACAGTATCTGCAACAGGAATGGACTTTTAGGATTCCTCTTGCATATGTGACCCCTGTTTCACGCAAGGTATAATCAACTCCTTTTCAGCTTTGGCACAAGGTACGGAAAAAGATACCCTTCCCTGAAAGTCAGCCTTGAGATTTTGAAGTAGGCAACCGCCGGATAGATTTGCAGATTTATTATCCTAAATTCTAATGGGAATGCTTCAAGTTCTACACCCAGTGTTCAAAATCCCATTTCTGATTGCATACTTTCTACAGTCTTGCCTCAGCTGCCTCCAACTCACTTGGGTACTTGACTCCATCTTCGAGGCCACTAATCTGATTTCCAATCTCCAGAGGCGGCAGCTTGACGTAACCTTTCGTGTGCGAGAGGGCTGATAATACCCATTCCCTGGTTGCCTTGATGCCTTCGTTGTTAAGCGCCCAAACCACAGCATCTACGACATCGTCCACGATGACGGCTGGCTTGTATCGAGGCTCCTTCTCCGTCGATGTCTGTCGCCAGACGCCAGTTCGTACAAGAATGGGCACCCACTCGGTACCATCCTCCGCTTCAAATTCGCTAGCACCCCGGATGTCACTTTCTGGGTTATCGCCAATCATGTAAACGCGTCGAAGAGGGTGGCATTTCGATGTATCATGCCCAGGGCTTTGACCACGATTGCAGGCCATATCATGGTAGTACTGTAGCAGCCTATCATGAGCGTATTTGTATGTGTGGTTGAATGGTTTGCCAAGTGCGCTGAACTGCAGTTCTGTTCCGTTGGTAGTCGTTGACCATACTCCCTTGAGTGCCTCCATGAATGCTCCAGTGCCAAATCGGTTCACAGGATAGTTTGTTTTCCATAGCATATCAAGGTTGGAGATCCATAGTCCGGGTTGGCCATCTTGCTGCCAGCCATTGTTGGGCAGAGACTCATTACCATTCCGGTTCGAAACAGTTCCGAGGTAGCCTTGATGGGATATTAAAAGATCGTGGATGATCTGAATATCTACTGACCAGTCTCTTGGATCGTTCCAGATGAAAATGTGATCAATTTTGAGAGCGTTTGCAGGGACATTAGTTGTATAAGGGTCATTCAGCAAAGGAATTCGCTTTCCGTCTGGTAATGGCGTCGGCTTGCCATTGATCTCGCCCTCAATATGCTCAAAGGGAAACACGTCCTTGCACTCGGCGAGGATATCCGCCGGGGTGACAACACGCTTGAATCCATACCTACAGCAATTAGCTTACCAGACAATATCTCCCCATAGGAATGATACTCACCCAAGGGCAATTTGACGAGCTTTTTCAGGATGAGAGCCTGTAATTAAGACAGTGCCATTGTTCTTGACATGGTCACTCCAACCACTCATTGGCGTGTGGGACAGAATCATCCTGCCTTTTACCACATCGTCATTCTTGGCGATCTGGAGTCTTTCTTGAAGAGTCTCTGCTTTTTTATCTTCAGGGACGCAACCGCCGTTTGTCAAAAAGACATATCGGATGCCATTGCTTCTGAGCATCTTGATGACTTTCTCAGCTCCATCCACTCTGTTGCGGCCTTGGTACAAGACACCGTCAATACTGTCGTCTGTCAGCTCCTGGTACACTTTTTGTATTCGCGAGTATATTTCCTGAGTCGGAGGAAAGTACAAGAGACACCGTATGAAACCGACTTACTCAAATGCAAAGGCAAACTCGGAAAACAGCTTTCGTGCCAGGTCGGTGGGCTCCTCATATTGATTTGGGTTGACACCTAGTGAGCCTTTTGGCTTGGATAGATAAACGCTAGAGGTAGTGAATAGCCTCTGTGATATAGAGGAGGCTCTCAAGACAACCGCCGTCGTCGGTGCGACAGACCGTAGCTGCGTCAATCGACGTGCGGCGAATCGGCATTGGCCGACCACACCGAAGCGTTGCATGTTTACCGAAACGCGAAGGATCAAGTATAAGAGAAAATATACGCCAGAGCTTCAAGCTTAGAGATCTCAGTGAGATGACAGGATAAGAAAAGGTGCAGTGCAGCAACGACGTGTGATGCTCAAAGTTAACTATTAACTAGTTGTAACGCTTTATTTAAGTGCCAACTTGTCAGAGTCATGGTTGATAAGAGGCCTGGCTTGTCTTGTCGGTAATATCCACCCACAATTGATGCGAGCCGAGGATCGCCATAACCCAGTGCCCAATATGTAAGTTCAATACCAGCAGACCACGACACAAAAAGAATCGTTCGCGAGGCTATTCTCTCAATGCAGTTCATGGAAATGTACAGTTGATTGAGTGGTTCCTAATATCACAGTATCCTTCTATGGCTTCATGATTCTGGTGTTACAGTACTTTTACATCACCCGCAATATCTGCTCATCTTACAACCCAACCACGGATGTTCTTTTTACTTAGAGCCAAATAGCGAATGCTCTATTTCTTGTCCCAGTCCTTCATGTGGTCCAAAATGAGCGCTGCGGCCTGCTGAGGCGAGTGTTGTCTGCCCAATGCCTCAACGAAATCACCATCCGGGTCCATCAAGTAAAAGTAGATGCTGTGGTCCACCAAATAGTCCTGTCCTGGCTTGACGTTCTGAGGTGTGCTGAAGTAGACGCGGTACTTCTTGCAGAGCGCTTTGATCTGATCATACGTGCCGGTCAGACCAATGAACTTCTCATGGAACTCGCCCAGGTAATCCTTAAGAGCCTTCGGGGTATCACGGGCCGGATCGCAGGTGATAAAGATGGGAAGAAGTGCACCTGGGGCCTTTTCTTCGACGATATCCAACATGGTAGCCATCTTGTCGAGTTCTTCGGGGCAGATATCAGGGCATCGAGTGAAACCGAAGTACACCTAATAAAAGTTAGCCATGAACACATTCGTTTTGAGACTGCAAAGCTCGTTTCCTTGACATACCAAGGAGTGTTTGCCCTTCATCATCTCGCTGGTAAATGGCTTTCCATCCTGATCGATCAACTCAAAGGTTCCTCCAACTTTTGGTCGGCCCACGCCCTTGGCCGCCTCAGCTATTCTCTTACGCTGCATGCGCGCCTTTTCAAACTCGAAGTACCATACTAACAGCCCGCAGGTACCGACGAACAGGATTCCGGCCTTCCAAGAAAAGGGCTGTTGTGCATTTGTCAGCTCATTGCTTCTTCAATCGCCATCGAATTTTCCCCCAGATCTTTGTTCTTCATACCCCATTGCTATATCGGCTCTTGGCCTGCTCGATCGTCTTGTATTTTGTTCGGCGCTGGGTAATGGGCTGTCTCGACTGGATTGGCGCTCGGGGGAGGGTTGGTCGGAGCTGCTTGGGCTGGAGAGCGCTGCTGGACAAACATCGCTGGCATTGTCTCGTCGAGAGGGATGAGAACACACCCCTCAGTGCTCTTGACGTCGTGACCGAATTCGACATGGCGAAATGACTCTAGGCAAGAGTCGATAAACTCATGCAAAAGCTAAAGAATCTACTACGTAAACTTACATCTTTCGATTGTCACAACCTTAGTACTAAGGTAAGCTCCAAAAAAAAATACATGGTCCGGGCTTTTACCGGGTTTGTTGGTTCCGCCTTAGTCATTCAGACTATCCATCATCATTTCTCCCGTCTCCAACAGCTCGTCACTTACACCGAAGTTTCATTTTCCGTTTTTCTCGATTAGCTTAATAAACTGTCGGTGCTTGTGTTTCCCTCGAATTGCCTGTTTCTCGGTCTATTATATAAATCGTATTGTGTCAAGTGACCACACATTAATAGTATATAAGAGGCACCATCTGCCAACACTGTCAACACTCCACAATGGAACAAACCACCCCAACAATAGGACAAAGCGAAGACTCTCGCTCTGAGCTCTTTGAAAATGACACAAAGAGCGAAACGGTTGCTGAGAGTACCCCTCAACCTCTGTCAGATGCCAACCCCGCCTCCTCCAACTCACCTTCACATCCTCCTTCTACATCTGCAGAACTTAACAACATGGCCGCTCACACAGCTTCAAAGAAGAAGGGCACCGCTTCGACAGTTAAGAAGACGCCTAAGCGATCAAAGAAAACAGGGGGGCCAAGGGCGGCGAAAAGAGCCAAACCCACGCGGTCAGGTTCCGCGGGAGATGCCCATGAATCGGCAGGATCCGAACTCGAGGAATCCGACCATGGGCCATATTGCCTATGCCGGGGGGCAGACGACCACCGGTGGATGATATGTTGCGAAAATTGCGAGGATTGGTTCCACGGAGAATGTATCAACATGAACAAAGAGGTTGGCGAAAATCTGATCGAAAAGTTCATCTGTCCACTCTGCACGAACGAGAGCCTCACAACTTTGTATAAGAAAACATGCGCCTTGGGCGGATGTAGGAAGGCGGCTCGAATAGCCCAGGGGGAGAAGAGCGTGTTCTGTTCCAACGAGCATGCACAAACATGGTGGGAGCGCATGGTATCCAAACTTCCCAAGGCAAAGGGAAAAGGAGGAGTTAACGACCAGCTTACCCAGGAGGAATTTATGGCGCTCCTTCAAGGTGGTCTTTCAGGAACTGACGAAGAAGGGCTTTGGAGGCTGGTCAGGGCACCATTTGCAGGCCAAGAGTCCAACGTTACAAACGGAACTGACAAAGGTATGTCGCTGTCGTATCCTACCTATCACAATCGTCTAATAAATATCACAGAAAATTCGGATCAGATGCACCTCTCTGCGGAGGAGAAAGAGTATCTCGAAAGTGCAGCCGCAGCACGCTTCCACTTGGCCGAGGAGACAGTTCTCTGCCACAAAATGCTCACTCTCTTGGAGTTCGCACACGAGCGACGGCAAGCTGCAATTACTGCCGGCCGCTTCAAGGAAGATATCTGCGGATACGATGAACGTCTTGACAGTATTGGTGCCCGGGACGCTTTTGAAGCGTTTGCAAAGTCGCCAGAAGGCGAGGCTATCTTCAAAGCGTCCCGAATGAGCGATCCTCTAGGAGAAGGCGACGAAGTTCGCGGTATGTGTGAGCGCAAGCGTTGCAAGTTTCATGGTGGATGGTATAAGATGCTTTCATTGGGTCTCAAGCATCAGATTCGGGAAATGGCAACACAGGCCGATGAGGTTGGAGAAGAAGAGAAGGCTATGCGCCAAGCCGCAAAGGATAGATGGAGGCGGAAGCAGTCAGAAAAGAACTGGGTTGAGGTTCTGGATGGTTGAAAGCTGCTGCTACTCGGGCGTTGCTGGCGTATACGGGACATTTGCTGATTGTTAGGCGCTTAATTATGTCACCATCAAACTATCATTATAGACCTTTCCAAGCAGTTTGGCAATTTTTTATGAAAGGAACTACAAATGTCTACTGCCAATCATAAATCAGGAAGAAATAGTCCGTTCGCACCTGACTGTAAACGTTGTACCTCATCCATAAACTACAGCATAGAAATTTACACTTGTTGCACAAGAGGGATCGAAGAGTTTATCATTGAAGGATGGATGTAAGTGAGCATTGGCCTCAACCTCATTCAAATAGGCACTTCCGATGCAGTTATACGCTTAAGCTACCTAGGAAGACTTGCTTATTCTTCTTTTAACGATTGTAACAGCCTAGTGAGATAGCTGCTAATACTTATTCGTTCATCAGAGCGCATCGAGTTCATACCCCAAGATCCATCCATCTATTAAGTTCTGGAGCTAAGCGGACTACTATAACCGCCACCACCCCGCAGTCAGGAAAAAATCCTTGTCTCGCCAACCACCAAAAAGTTGAAAAAACATTTGCCTGCTTATCAAGCAAGTAACAACTGGGAAACGAAAGGGAGAGCGCCCATCAACTGCGTTGCCTAGGTTGTGCATATTCTTTATTCTCTTCTTTCAACTCTTCTTTTTTTTTTATAACATCTCTCTCTCTCTCTCTCTCTCTCTCTCTCTCATCGAACATCACTCGTCGTGCCCTCGTCATAAAATTACCCCGCCATCATGTCGTCTTCTAACCCCCGCGATCAAAAAGAGCCTGTCGATGAAGAGCTCGAGGAGGATATGCTCGCGGCCGAGGATGCCGCCGAGGAGATTGTCGACGATGAGGATCTGGCCATGGACTCCGACAATGAGGAGATTCTGCTCCAAAACGACTCCATCGGCTACTTCGACGAACCCAAAGACTCTCTCTTCACCATCGCCCAGCATCCCAAGTACCCTTCTATCATCGCGGTTGGCGGTTCAGCTGGCCAGGAAGATGATGCTCCCGGTGCAGGATGGGTCTTCAACACAGCCTCCGCTCAATCGCGACCTCCGCTTCCTGCTAGTTTCTCGAGCGATCCCGCCGCAGACGCCCTGAAGAGCACCCAGCTTCCCCCTCTATTTAGCCTAGATGGCCACACAGACTCGATCAACACACTCGCATGGACTCTGCCTCAAGGAGAGGCCCTCGTCAGTGGTGGACTTGACGGAAGGTTGCGCGCATGGAAGGCAACCATCTCGAATGATGGTGCTGTCAAGATGGACTTCCTTGGTGAAGCACAGGAGGTGCCTGAGGTCAACTGGATTGCGCCATGCCCATCTTCCACCAACCCCAACGCCATCGCTCTAGGCGCTTCCGACGGTTCGGTTTGGGTCTACACAGTCGATCCCACAGATAAAGCCAACTCTCTTCAGATCGTTCAGTCCTATTTTCTACATACTGGTGCCTGTACCGCTGGTGCTTGGACGCCTGATGGTCTTCTGTTGGCTACCATCTCCGAGGATGGAAGCTTGTATGTCTGGGACGTTTGGGGTGAAGCTACTGCCAAGAACCTCGTTGGCGACAACGGTATGACTGCGGTGGCTTTGACTGCCGAAGATCAGCGTTTCGAGGTTGAGGGTGGTCTCTACTCGCTTGCCATTGACCCCAAGGGTGCCTTTGTTGCTGTCGGCGGTGCTACTGGCGCCATCAAGATTGTCTCTCTTCCACGACTTGCATCTTCCGGACCTCAGCCCCAGGCTCGTGCCCGGGCTGGAGGCAAGACTACTGGCCAGTCAACGGCGACCGCTGGCGGCCAAATTCTCGCCGCGCTGCACACCCAATCCGAGAGCATCGAGTCGCTTGCTCTCGTCACAACGCCTAACACACCTCCTTCCACCCTTCTCGCAGCCGGCTCTGTGGACGGCTCTATTGTCGTTTACGATGCCACCCGCCGCTTCGCCGTCCGACGACACATCTCCGGCGCCCATGAGGAACATGCCATTGTCAAGCTTGAGTTCATCCCCAACTCATGGCAACTGACCAGCTGCGGCATGGACGGTGTCGTACGCCGCTGGGACCTCCGAGGTGCTGGTGCCACAAACCCCAACGCTCCCGCAACAGCTGCTGAGGCTGGTCTGCAAAAGGAATGGAAGGGCCACCGTGGTGATGGGGAAGGTGGCGGCGTCTTGGGCTTTGTTCAAGGCGAGACAGGAGAGAGGATCGTCACCGCTGGTGACGACGGTGTTGCTCTAGTCTTTGAAGCATAGTGTTTGAAAAGAATCAAAGGTTTTGGAAAATGATATATAGAAGGAGAAAAGCGTATGCGGAAGTCGTTTTTGCTATCTTATGATTACAATGAATAGAATCATAGGGATGATACCCTGGATATTGGTTGCCACGGCTTGATGGCCTATCCTTTGTGAAATTCGGAGTCCCAGCATACGGCTGATCAGGTTCATTATGATACCCATGTCGACTAGAGAAGAAATCCGATGCTAAGCTGTACATGTGTACCTACCTATAAGTGAGCGTATTTGTCAATAGTAAACGGAACTGCAATATGAAACGCGATGAAATTTTTTATCAGCAAATGATGTCTTGAGTAGGTAGTTATATCTACTATTTAATCAAGTCAAAGATAATTGTCTTGATGGATGATACGTTGATAAGGATGGAAAGCTGATCATTCTGGTGATGACATAGGTAGCCTGCTTATCGATAAAAGCTGCGAGTTCGGATCCATCAATCGCAGCGTCTGATTGGCCAGTGCTTTTTGGAATCTTAACAGCGCTTGTTCAAAATTCTTTGACCCATGACAGCGAAACGAGATAGCATCATACCCGAGTCTAGTTTGCTATCAACGAGCGTTGCCTTTCAACCAAACACTTCTTCTTCGATCAAATTACATACAAAATGTTTGGAGGATGTATGTTGAAATCCAATTGCATTACTGGACTACCAAACTAATCCATTACAGTCGCCCCCCCTCAGCAGTCTCAGGAGGAGATCCGCGCTCTTGAGGCCGACGCTGCCTTTACAGTCCAAGGTGCCATTACCACTGCTGTCCTCCTCTACCTCTGTACGTTTGGCGATTTTTCTTGTTTTAAGAAGAGTGGTGCTAACGATGTTCCCCAGCTCCCTTCGCTATCGATCTCGTTGGGAAGATCTTCTAAATACCAATAAAACCGTCTACGACAAGAATCCGTCCGTGTTGTCTTGATAGTGTTATGAACCTGCAATGCGGTCGACGGCGCTTCTGCCGCGCCATGTACAATAGAACCGGTTTAGATGGGACGGGTAGGAAGTCATGATTAATCTGTATAATACGTATCCCAAGACGTGGTAAAAAGCCGCGCAGCAACATCATTCACGACATCAAAATGCACCATATCCGTTCCCAGTTCATAAACCCAAATAGAGGTATCACTTGTTGTGTCGATATTATTCTTAGACTTTACAAAGAGTTACGTTTCGTATCCTATGACGCGTAGGATGAATACCCAGTCCTGACTCCAACTCTATGTCACCAATATACATCCTAACAAAAGACAGTTGCTCCGTCTTTACCACATTTGTCGCTAAACCGTGTGCCCTGATTAAGTTCCATCTATTTTGAGTGCGGGTTCCTGGTCTTCTCCCACTCTGCATAATCTGTCGATAGAGCCTCAAGCTCTTTCTTGATATGCTGGATCTGCTTCTCATAATCCTCAAGCACCTAGAAAAGGATTAACTGGTTTGTGTGTGCTACGATCGATCCGTTACTTACTCGTTTTGCTTTGGCTTCTCGCTCTGGATCAATACTCTCTCCCTCAGAACCGGTGGGCTTATCCAGCTCCTTGCTGAGCTGATCAGCATAGCCTCGCAACACAATAAGGCGGCTCCAGAGTTCTTCCTCTCTTGCTCCAACGGCAGGGTCTTGAACTTCTCGCTCCAGAGTCTGCAGGCGGCTGCTCAGATCATCCTCATCGCCACTCAGTGCGTAGCCACGGTTGCGGAGCACTTGTATCCGCGCAGCAAGTGCTAGGCATCTTTCACTAATTGTTGTCTGTCGTCGACGGGCTGCGACCGCGCGAACCTCAGTCTCGAGCTCGTGGCGCTGAAGAATGGCATCCAGGCTGCCGTTGATCTGGTGGAGACGAGTGTTGAAGTCGGCGACGGCGCGCTGTTGTGTTTTAAGGCGGTCGGCAACGCCAGCGTAGCCAGAACAAAGAACGGGCATGAACCCTGGGGCTGGCTTATTCTGTAGGGCTTCCTCCCATTCCCGAGGGTCTTCGTGAGGTTGAGGCTTGTAGTAAGGAACGTGGCTCTCATCGACCTTGTTGTAGAAATAGTATTTGAAGACGCAGTTGGGGTTCGCAGGGTCCCATTTCTCGGTGACAAGCTTCATTTGCTCCAGAATCGGCTTCTGATCTATGCAGGGGTCAGTCTTGCGATGCAGGAGAACAGCTCTTTCTTGGCAACATACGCGGTGTTTCCTTTCCAGGCTGCCATAGCGAGTTTGACAGCTGAGCTTGCGACTGAGATAGAGCTGGCATCTGTTGCGGCTGTGGTTGCTGGATCGATGCGCCGAGTGTGTTGCCCTGTTGCTGTTGTTGAGGTTGGCCTAGACCGAATACTGTGCTCTGATTCGGCGCAGTTGTCTGAGCGGGCTGCGACTGCCCAAACAGCGAGGGCTTGGTCTGTCCGAAGAGCGACATGTTGAGTGATGGTGTTGCGACGTCTGAATCGGGAGCTGTCAGTCGGCAAGCTAAGCTTTGAACGATGAGATTCCTTGCCGAGACGGCACCCGGGCGAAAGAGGTAGCTAGTAGCTCAATATGAGATTGACTTCTGTTCTGCGACTGTGTAGTCGTCGTATTCAAGTTTTATCTGAGCTGTAAGACTGAAAATGTGATTCTTTGATTGTTTGCTGTGTTTATTTGGCTGCTTAAAATTATTGGAGCTGAGCGACGCGAAAACAGAGCTACGCTCACCTTGGGCCCCGTTGCAGCCTTGCGCTC